GTCATAAGATGGGCCAATAGAAAAGTGTGGGAGCACTTTTTCCCGCATTTTCTGTTATGATGGCCCTCGCCTACTACAAATCCACTACAAATAGCTCCTCAGGTACTAACCTTTACCTACAGTGCTACAGACCTACCTACAGACCCCAGGCCCCTTGCGCTGTTTGCTCAAAGCCGCAATATGGCCGGAGCAGCTCCAATCGTGCACGTACAAGGCGGTGAATTTGGGGATCACGGAAGCGGCATGTAGCGGGAAATCAACTTCACTGATGAGTAAACCTCGATAGTAAAAGCAGTCGCGTCACACTACCACGACAAATTCTTGGTAAGTGCTGTACGATTCAAATTAAAATATTTAGTATTTTAAAAATAACTACACTTTCAGGAAATATATACCTATAGTTTTAATCAGGGCTGTTGCACTCTGCATGTTGTAAAATACAAAAATGTTCATACGTTTTTGTAAATCCTGTGAGGAAGGCAAGGGCTTGCACGTCTCATTTTACGTCTGTGCCTCAGTTAGATTTGTACTCTATCCAGATGACCTTTATGAAGAAGGGGGGGCAATTGTTTTGCCACACTTGCTGTCACACAATTGACCATGTTCGCAAGTACACCATTGATGAGCACATGAAATCTCAGAAACATTGTGAATGCAAAGCAGCAGCAATAAAGAAAAAACGAAGGTAAAATACTTTTGATATATACAATATTAAATGAAAATGTATCATTATTTTCTTTCATGTTAATTTTGGAAGAAAATCTTAATTTGTATGATTACAAACGTTAATCTCCCTCCTTTTTGATTGAATTTTAAAGTCATATAAAACAACCACAGCAAACAAAAACAAATAGACAGAACATTTATAATGACAAATAACATAACATAACATGTAGGAGCAGGAGTAGGCCATTCGGCCCTTCGAGCCTGCCCCGCCATTCAATCATGGCTGATCTTCTAATCTAACTCCAGCTAATAACCTATCCCTGCCTTATCCCCATATCCCTTGCAATAAGAAATATATCTATCTCAGGCTTGAATATGTTCAAGGACTGAGCGTCAACAGCGATTTGGGGTAGCGAGTTCCATACATTCACCATCCTTTGAGTGAAGGAAGTTCTTCCTCAACTCAGTGCAAAAGAGCTGACCTCTGATTTTAAGGTTGTGACCCCTGGTTTTAGTTTCTCCAACCAGGGGAAACAATCTCCCACTATCTACTCTATCATGCCTTTTGATGATCTTATAGGTTTCTAAATGCATCATGAAGACCAATGTTTATTTATTTATTTATAGGTGGATCTAGACCTCAAAGACAACTTGCTCTGATAATCTGCTTCTCTAGAGCCACTGCATCATCTATGGAGAGGAAAGAATTCATATTGGACTTTGTGCGGGTTTGACTAGAGCAGACATACCGCTTGAAAAAGCTCCTACCTTTCAAGAGTTTCTATGTAAGTACAAGAAACAGGGAGGGACTATTCCAAAACACCATCACAGCTTTGTAATACATACTTAAAGGAGCTTATTCCTGAGCATGTAGCATTTTTTTCAAGAAACACGTTGAAGACACAGATGTAGGTTAACAGCAAAATGCATCTCTCAGTAGCACCAATTAGACACCCGCAATTTTCCGCAAAGTCAAATTCTTTCCTCTGCAACGCCCCCCAAACAAAAGAGCGAGGCTGGGGAAAGTCACATAGGGAGGGAGGTGTATGGCCACAGAGGTGAGAGTGAGGAGCTTGAAGTCGATCATTTGGGAGACGGTGCAAACTGGAGAGAACTGGGGGCGATGGGTACACAAAGATTTGTGCAGGTCAGTATTTGAGCAACAAGAGTTTGAGATGAGCACCAGTATATTATTAAAGTGATCCCACACTAACTGAAATCTAATTATCAAGAATCCTGCTGAGAATATACCCGAAATGTATTGTTTCTTGATTATTATTGCCAGCAATCAACAGGAACTCAAGGGAAATTACAGTTACAAATATGTCTTTAAAACTATCTTTAACAAAAAGTTGGCACTGAACATCCAAATTGTCGTTTGCACTCCCAACCATTGTGGCAACGTTTTAAGTTGAAATTTTTACTTAGCTCAGGGTCTGGGAAAGAATTGTTCTTGGTGGCCTAACCGAAGATTTCCACGAACAAGAGTGAAACTGGGATCAAAATGAAGCTGACTTAAAACCAGGCCTTAGAGAGCTCTGAAGTGGAATGGACCGTGGAATTGCACAGCCATGGCAATGGTGGCACATTTCAAGCATTGCAAATACAAACCCTGAAAACTGGTCGTCACAATTCGTATTATAACAACAACAACTTGTATTTATATAGCGCCCTCCACACTGGGCGGCATCCTAGAGCACTTAACGATGGTGGAGCTCGATGCTGAGCCAGGGGGAAGGTTGAAGAGGAAGGTCTTCAGATGCAACCTGAAAATGGGGAAAGAGAAGGCAAGGTGAAGGGATTGAGGGAGGGACTTCCATAGCTTCGGGGCGTAGTGGTTGAAGGCACGGCCGCCGCTGGTGGAACAGAGGATTCAAGGGACATGGAGGAGGCCAGAGCCAGTGGAGAGGAGGCAGCAAGTACTGCTGTGAGGAGAGAGGAGGTTGGAGAGATAGGTGGGCGCCAAGGCGTGGAGGGATTTAAACACTAGCATGAGGATTTTGAAATTGATCCACTCTGTGACAGGGAGCCAGTGGAGTTTGGCAAATAATATACTTGTTGAGTTTGGGCAACAGGAGTTATGAGCGAGTACACAGGTATAAGTCACATCAGACATCCATGGTACACATTGAAGTATTTATCTCGTCACCACAGCGAGAAATTTAACCTGACTGAAGAGTAAACATCCTCCTGTTCCATATGTAAGTGCTTATGATATTTACAACATATGGAGTCTGAAAATTGTTACAATTAAGGAAGTAATCAATGTCTAGCTCACTCTCCTGGTTCCAGTGAGCACCAGGAGATCAGTGAAGCTCTGTGAATTCAAGGTTCAAACGGCAGCTTTCAAGAGATACAAAAACTTCCTTTTATGTGGCACCCTTCACATAGGATAATGCCCGAAGCGAACAGCATGTCACAGGGACAGTCAGATGTCAGATCTCCTTCGGAGTGCAAATACTTTACTTGGCATCTGACAATGGAAAAAGTACCTATATCCAACAACACCAACTTGCACTTAAATAGCGCCCTCCACGCAGGGTAGCGTCTCAGAGCGCTTTATAGTGGTGGAACCTGACTCTGAGCCAGGAAGTTAGTTCTGACACAGGTCACACTCCCAGTGAACCTACATCATGTTCTTTGCAAGACGTCAATTGTCCTGGTAACCATTAATTTATGAAAACACTTTGATTTAGTTTTGGTAAACAATGTATTGAGCTTACAACCAGAAACAAATTAGAGGGAAAAATTTAAGCTCGCTCTTTGTGGGTTCAATCTATTTATTTATCACTAAGGGTTTTTCAACTTCATCCGAAATATATTTGTTGTTTGAAGTGGCCCTCTGCAAGTTAGCTGAGCTCCCCTGGTGAATCCAATACAGACACTCTGTTGATAACTTAGCCAGAATTCCCATTCTGTCCAGAGATTTCTGCTGGAAAATGCATGTTGACATGGATATCAAATAACCTTAGATTGCTCGGGTTCAAATATGACTGACCGCTTCACTGTAGAATTACACAGAAGGTTACAGAAACAGACCATTTGACCCAACTAGTCTATATCAGTGTTTATACTCCACATGATCCTTATTCCTCTCTCTCACCCCTCTGTTCCCCTTGCTCTCATGTAAGCATCAAGCATAGGAAGGTCAGCTCCCATGTCACTGTCCCTTTGTAAGAATCACCACATTCAGTACAGAGTAGGGGAAGAACACAGAGAAGCTTCATTGAAAATGTGGTTTAACTTGCAATATTTCTTATTATAAAAAATGTCATTTTCAAATTTCTGAAATGCTAAATTTGCTGAAAGAGTACTTTCTTTGCATCAGATGTTTTGGAAATTCCACATTTAAATATTTCTTATTAAATGGATTCTTAAGAAATGTGTTAAGAAATATTACAAACTAGTCCCCAGTGAGTAACAATTTCCTCCAAGCTTTTGAAACTAAATGAATTTGTTTTAAAACAGACTGTAGTAAATTCTAATGTAATTACATCAATTACAGATCTTTTTCTAAATGATTCAAAGAATTGCATCTTTGTGCAGTTTGCAAATTTCAAATCTCTCCAGTTATATACCAGCCTTGAAACCCAATGCTGGTCAATCATTATGGTATATAAATATTACCAGACATGCAGAGTAGCTTGCAGGCACAAAGGTTGTGGGCCTGTAACAGTCCAATAGCTATGTTGTTCATTTGTTCCCCTAAAACTAATAGCTTTAAAAAAAAGTTTAGTTTTCAATACTTGTGAAACTGTCAGCAGTAAAAAAAATCTGTACACTTAATACAACTCATTTTCACATCATCAAAATGTCTCAAAGCGTTTTGCATGATTTTACTGTTGAGTACAGTGACTGGATAAGTGGTCGTTTCAAATGTGCTAGAAATTGGGAGAAAGAAGATTTCATTTCTGGTAAGAGAAATGTTAGCCCAAATAGCCTTGTACTGTTGTAGTATTGCAGTTCAGCCATTAGAGGCACTAAAACACTACTGTTCTAGCGGCTGCTAGTGGTTACACCGAACACTGCACCCCAACAGTGGTTTGAAATCTGAAGTAGCACACTTGCATAGAATTAAGAAATTCTGTAATAACTAACATGACCTTTAAGGAGGGACAAAGATTAATGCAGCTTCAAAACTCTTATCATTATTTGTTGAGACTACCAGATGTACACTTATTCCTTCGTGGCTTTTCTTTACACAGACTTCACTGTATTTGCCTGAGCACAGTCAGCCTGATATTTCCCGTAGGTTCACAGCCAAGCTGGTCAGTAGAATTTTCAATCTGTGGAAGGAAGTTTAAAAATATATATATAGAAAGTTTTATTCTTACCCTGGCCTCTCACCTTCGGATGTGAACAGACTCAAACTGTGCTGTTGTTTTGTGAACAAATCCAAATCTAAAAAAAGGAGAAACATCAGATGGCAATTTAGAGGAAGTTCCAACACAAATCAACATGCTGTTCTCCCTGGTTTGGTGTTTGTTAAGGTGAATGATACCAAAGCTATGGAATGTATCACTTACTGCCCCAAATTACACCTGGTCAAAATAAAGTATGTAGGGCCATTTTTTAAGATCACACAAAACCGCGAAAAATTCTTTAATCAAGCTTTAATTTAGAAGTCGGTGTTTCTTAGGATCTGCAGTAAACTGGCTTTCAAATTAAGACTGAATTGAAGAGCTACCACAAATCTGTCCAATCTTAAACTTCAAGAAAAAATAATCTCACAGGCGAAAACCAAGTGGATTTTTTGAGCCTTTCCTCTCTATGTATTCACTCAGTGTCGATGTGAAGCACTGTCAGATCAGTACAGCACAAGTTAGATGCATGAATCTCCCTCTGCTCCATTCTCAGCATGTATCTTTACTCAAACGCAAAAGATTGTCCCCTACTGTACCAAGGTGACACATTTCTTTCTTATCCATTCTCACAGTTTCTCTGAGTGAGGTTTTCATCTATCTAGTTTTTGCACTGAATTTAATCAGCAGTACAATACAACAACAATTTACATTTATATAGCGCCCTTCACGCAGGGTAGGGTCCTGGATCGCTTGACAGTGGTGAATCTGACCCCAAGCCAGGGGGAGAGGGAAGGGGGAGGTGACTGTAAGCATGTTCAAAAAGATCTTTTGGCGGGATTTGAAAGTAGGGAGGGAGGGGGCAAGGTGGAGGGAGAGAGTTCCAGAGTTTCAGGGCTTAGTGGCTGGGACCTGGCCCCTTGTCCACTCACCATGAGCTCCCCTAACACCAGTGGCTGCAAGATAATGGTCAGGGTTGGGTTTCCCCTACAACAAAATAACATGTGCATAGCGCCTTTCAATGCCCTAACCCAGAATCTGAATCCAGGTGAGTCTTAAATATAGCTAATTGCCATTCGTCTTATCTTTGTAAAAATGTAACTTGTGTAATGAAAAATGCATGGGCATCAGCCAGTTCGGTGTTGTTTCAATTCAGGGTGAAGTGGTTTAGCACATGTAAGGCTTCAGAGAGGTCAGGCTAGGCTGCTGCAGGTGCCAGATTGAACACGAATAGTAAATTCAAAGCTGTGAAGTGGTAAACGGTTGGGCTACATAATTTATTCCTTACTTCCTTTCATCAACAAAGCATCAATTGTTTTGACAATTTAAACAGGGTACAAGTCTTCAGGTCTTTGGCTTGAGAGGAAGTAACACCCTCTCTCTGGGCTCCAGCCCTACTAGCGACTATTTTAGATTTGCATTTGGTTGCAGCCCCAGTGAAGCTACCAATGTAGTCTGAACTTACAACAATATATTGGCTGCGGTGTTTTGCCCACAAAATACACAGTCGCTACATTTTACAGTATATTCTGTGAAACGCTTTGAGACGTCTTGAAGACATGATAAGGAGTTATATCAAATGCAAGGATTATTATTGTTATTGTTATCTATGCTGTGGACTTGTTCAAACTAGGAATTTATTTAAGATTTACTGTAAAATGTAGCAGTATTTTGTGGGAGATTTTTCTTTTTCAACAATACCATGGAATCTTTAACCTGAACAGGGAGGTGGAACTTTAGTTTACTATCTTCTATGTAAGGTGGCACCCCCGACAATGTACCATTACCCCAACACTATATTGAAGTGTCAACCTAGAGTTTCTTAGTTCAAAGTTCCAACATGGGGCTTGAACCCACAACTTTCTGACTCAAAGGCAAGAGTGCTATGCCAGGCTGAATCTGGGCAGTAGTGAAAAGTGAAAGAAAAGTGCACCATCTCACTGTGCTACATAGTTATATATTTCCTTCCTCCCCTCTTTCCACTTCTCTTTTCCCCTTCCCTCTCCATCTAATAATAATACTTGCATTTGACATAGTGCCTTATCACGTCATTGAGACATCTCAAAGTACTTCACAGAATACATTGTAAAGTGGATCGACTGTGTATTTTGTTGGTGAAACCCAGCAGTGTCCCACAAATGTGGATTGAGTGACCACATTTTTTTGAGGGATTATTACCCCCGGAAAGCGATCCGTCAATCAACTAATAACTGGGTTCCCACTTACTGCTAGGTAAACAGTGGCATGTGGAGTAAGGAAAGTTGCCTAAGGTTTTGCCCCAGCTGGGAATCGAACCCGGGTCCTCTCAATTGTGAAGCGAGTGTGATAACCACTGTTATGGGGCTCTACATATAATGTTTACACATTGCAGAACTTCGGGTCACATAGCAAATGGATCACCGAGTTATAAAGACCCTCTTATTTAAATGGAAGCTTGCTTGGTTTAGCTGATACCATTTTGGGTCCAGACACGGTGCACAGTTATGTAGCCAATTAGTGACCAACTCTTTCCCCCTTTGCAAGTAAATCCCTTTAAACATATTGGAATCCTAACATATTATTTCAAATTCTCTGGGCATGGCTGGGATGATCACAGACAAAGTGGGCAGAGGTTAAGATCCTTTGAGAGGTATAAACCATCTCTTTTTCCACTCCAGTGTGTTTTCATGTGCTAACGGGGTTAAATCAACCGGATTTAATAGAGAAGCAATGTTATGAGGTATGAGAAGAGCAGCTGAGGAAACAAGTCAGCTTTGATCCAGCGAGTGGAAAAGATTCAGGGCTAGGTAAAGCTTATAGGTCAGGCAAAATACAGGTGCTTCATTGGCCGATATTTAAAAATTAATCTGGTAAAAAAAGGTGAGAATCAAAGTGCAAAGCAAATGTCACTGATGTTCCTGTGCATGAAGTGTCTGGTATTATGTTTTGTAAATCCCATTTACTGGCATTTAGTGGCTAGGAAAAATATGCAAATAGGCAGGCTACACAACTAGATACATACAAATAAACACAGAAAGTTGAATCTTTTGTGTAAAAGGTTTGGGGATTTGAACAGTAATGGAGTCAACCTTCTGTGGTGGTTTTGGTAATCCAGTTGTTGAGCCAGACAGGCCCATTAGTAGGACTTGTAGAATCATAGAATCTTATAGCACCGAAGGAGGCCATTCGGCCCATCGTGCTGACTCTTTGAAAGAGTTATCCAATTCGTCCCACTCCCCCACGTTTACCCCATAGCTCTGCAATTTTTTCCTTTTTCAGTATTTATCCAATTCCCTTTTGAAAGCTATTATTGAATTTGCTTCCACCACCCTTTCAGGCAGTCCATTTCAGAACATAACAACTCTCTGGGTAAAAAAAATTTCCTCGTCTCCCCTCTGGTTCTTTTGCCAACTATCTTAAATCTGTTTCCTCTGGTTATCGACCCACCCATCAGAAGAAACAGGGAGCAGACCATCATTGTGGGCAGGGACTTTTCGCTCTTAGGGACCTTGGAGTCCTGTAGCTCAGTGGTTAGAGCACTCGCTTTGCAAGCAAGAGACCTGAGTTCAATTCCAGGAAGGGGGAAACCTTGGGCGAGTTTCCTTACTCCACACTGAGCCTAATAATAATCCCTCCAAAACCCAAAACAATAATAAATTGGTCATTTTCAATTTTCGATTGTTTGTGGGACATTGCTGTGCGCAATTGGCTGCCGCGTTCGCCCACAAATATACAGTCAATTCACTTTACAGTGTGTTCTGTGAAGCGCTTTGGGACGTCCTCCTGACGTGAAAAGCGCTATATCAAATGCAAGGATTATTATTATCTCCTGTTAACCCTATAAGCCAAAGCCCTCATGGATGGTGCAAATTGGACACACAGTGGATCACTTGTGAGACAATGCAAATGCTGGCAACCTCTGTGGATTTTGCCGGTTGGACTCCAGCAGTACCCTAATACACACTCCAGGGTCCCTAAGCCTTGGCTTTTACCAACCTGTGTCGAATACTCTCTGGAATTAGGTAAACGGGATGTATCCTCGTGGAGAAATAGTGTGTAGTCCATTCCTGACACAGGGAAATTTCTATTTGTGGAACTCAGTCTGGTTTGGATATTCTTCAGCCTGGTGATGGGTTTCCGCTTGTATCAGACACTTTCTGACCCCAAAAAATCCTCCACAAATGCTATCAACACTACTGGGTAAGTTTCATACCAGATTGCAGCTCTCTGAGAGCCCTCTTTCCTCGCCTCCTCCCAGCGACTGTAATCTTTTATAGATACTTAACGCCAATGGTCCATTAATTACTTTGCCAATAGGTTAATCGATTCCACACTTCCAGAATATGCACAAAACCAGTTCTGAGTGGCACAATACTAAAACTCTTTGGATACACCAAAATTCTCTGATAAATTGATCGTCTGAAAACTTCTGGACTTTGCTGTCACTTTCTTTCCTCACTAATTACACAAAGAATCACATAACCCAGAAATGGATGTTTCCGAAGATTATGGGCACTCAAACCCTCCTTTCATACTTATTCCATGTCCAGAGAAACGGCAATTTCCATACAAACATACCAAAAAAAGTCGGGGGGAGCAGCCGGGTGGGAAACCTATCACCATGCTTAACAGTAACATTAATATAAAATAATAGTAACAGGTGCATTTGACACAGCACCGCGTCCTATCACACGGGAATGTCTCAAAGACTTACACATTATTTAATGGAGAGTGTAGTAACTGTGCATTTTGTGGGTGAATGCAGTAGCCAATTTGCACCTAACAATGTCCCAAGGTCATTCACAGCTATGAGGTGAATGACCAATTGTTTCAGGTGGGCATACTCCTGATCTTAAAAATCTAACATCCAAAACTCCACAGTAATTATTTATTCTCACAGGTCCAATATTCAGCTCTGCTTACCCCTGCTCTCCACACCACACAAGCACACACCTCGCACTAGTGCAGAAGCCATTTAATCCTGTGGTGTATTTAATAATCAAATAGTCTGCTGCCTCCTTCAAAGATTATCATGAAGAAATTAGTAGTATTTATTTATCCCTGAGAGATACAGTATTTCAGAGACCATTGTTACTACTTTGATTCAATGTGCAATCAATG